CAAGAACGTCTCAAATGTCTCTACGGGGACGTTTTGTCAGATTTAGTTCACTTCTGGAGACAAATATGCCCCAAAAATACAGCTAGTCAGTAAACCCACACTTAAACACACACACACACACACACACACACACACACACACACACACACACACACACTCCACTTACCTGTAGACAAACACAGCCTAACTAGACTAAACACAGTTGAACATTAATCTGAGACGTGTCCTGAAATCAGATCACATTACAGTTGCTTTTTTTTACCTTATTTATTATTGCATTTATTCATATTCTGTCAGCAGACACTGTAAATTCTATCAAGTTAGCAGTACTCAAAACATACTGAGGTCATCAGCTACATCCTATTTTTGAGTTAATAAACTCTGATAGTAGAGTTAGTACGCTTCACAAGAAAATACTATTTCAGTCTTTCTACTTCAAAATTTCAGATTTAATTCAACATGTTACTTGCCATTTCTTCGTAATTATTTGTGAAATTTACAAGCAATTTCAGATTTAAAAATTTAAAGTTAAATACATTTTTTTTTTCCAGTTTACACAACAGGGTTATTATCGTTAACTAAAACTAAAACTATTAAAAACACTTTTGTTAATTCAAATAAAGCGGAATAATAAAATATAAATATTAGATTAAAAAACACTTAAAATAAACAAACATTATAAATGTTGCCTCGCAACTACCTGAAATAAGTTTAAGTAGAAACACTAAAATTACTAATTGGAAACTACAACCAAAATTGAAATAAATATAAATCAAACCTAAATAATATAACACCATTTTTTTTATTTATTTATAATATAAATAATAATAAAAAAAGACAAAAGCACATAACAAAATAACAGAAAAATAATCTATTTAAATGAAAACTGAAATAATTCAAAATAATAATAAAAACTATAAAGCATATAAATGCATGCTAACTGCACTTAACATGAAATAGAGTAAGCTAACTCAATTAACTCGACTGAATATCTTCTCAGCTCACCGTACACTGTATCCCGCAATGCACTGCGGTCCGCATGAGTGTCTGTGTGATGAATGAAGCGGCAATAACATGCGCCGTGACAAACGTTACAACATTTTTAAACTAACCTGGATTAAAAATGCAAATGAACTGTCAGAGATGATAAATGGACGGCGGTCGCTGAATTAAAGACGCAGTGCAATGAAGTCGTGTGGCTTACTGCTGCTGTACGGCTGCGTGCTAGCTTTACGAAGGGTGCAGTATGCAGTGCACTAGCTAGTACTCACAGGTTGTCGGAATGGCTGTGTAGGGGCAGTGGGCGGAGTTTCCATGCTTCTCTGCCGCGACGTGGCAAAGCTCTTCCTGCGAGCACGAGCGTGCTCTGAAACACAACACACACAGAGAGAGAGAGAGAGATAATTATTCACTTAGAGTCCACAGAAACACACACACACAGGGCTGTGTCTCTCTGGGCTGTTGTCAGTGTTTTGTCTTGTTTTGTGGTGATTCATCCCTCAGGACAGCAAACCTTTACAGAACTTCCATTTCTGCTGCTATAAATACACGCACGCAGCAGCCTCCATCTCTCTCTCTTCAGTCCCACATATTCATCATGCAGCTCTCAGCATAATCACAGCAGAAATAAAGCCAGAGGGTTCACGGAAACACAAGTTCTCCATCTACTGTCGGTCTCCGCCGAGGACGACGTCTACAATACCTAGACATGATCTCGAAGCGCTGACATTTGCGTTCGACTCGCCGGTGGTTTCTCAGATTCACTGAAAGTACTTGACCTGCCACTTCCAGGTCTGACACTCAGATCTGGAAACATTTCAGTGTCAATCACCGCTGTAAATAACCGGATAACTGTGCCTGGTTACATAAAGCACCTTAAGTTTTTCCTTTAAGTATGAGACTTAAGGCGTGATTTCCCCTTACCTAAGGGATTGATTTAAGCATGTTGCATATAATCCCTTAGCGAAGGGAAACCGTTAAGTGTTTCACGACAGCGACCCAGGTTTTGCCGTTAAAAAAATCTACTGTTGCCATGGTCACGTTATTTGTTAATGCAGATAGTAAGTTTTCACATAAAAACAATATAACATGGATATATAGGCAAACAAAAAAGAAAACCAAATATGAAAGAGACGGACCAAAACTCAAATTGATAATTCACTCAAAACTCACCCTCATGTCAGTTCAAAACCATAAGACTTTTATTCATCTTTGGACAACAAATAAAGATCTCTCATCATTGTCAAGTCAAGTCAAGTCTGCTTTATTGCTGTCCATGTAGAGGTTTTCAGGGACTAGTGTGATTAAAAATATATATTTAAACTTCAGATCGTCTATGCATGACGTTTTCCAAAATTGATGTGAACATTAAAGCGCTAAACTCTCATGCAGCGTGTGTTTCATTCATACTCGAAGCCGGAGCGCGCTCTCGCGCTGAAAGTCCAAACCAGATTCATCGAATAAAAAGCAGAAATGTAAACACAATAACTCACAATTACAACAATATATGGTTAATGTATGTTTTACAAGTCATCTCCAGGTAATATGTAGGAAAACATGGAATATAAATTTGCTCTTGAGTGTGACGCACTCACGTTTGAGCTAATTATGTGCTGTATGTGATTTGATCAATGTTTCTATGTGAATAAATGCGTAAATTTAAATCTGTTTAACATATAAAGCGGCCGATCATGACTTGTAGAAGACTTTTGTGTAACACTTAAGATGACTTTTTCCAACCCTTATGTTATATCCTTAGGAAAATGACAGTTAAGGGGCTTTATGCAACACTTAATGGGTTTTAAGGGATACTTAACTATCTATAAACTGTCTGTCATCACATGCACACACTTCAGTATTTGTATTTGTAGTGTGTGGTGTTCATGAGCATATCTAAAGTACTTTTATAAGAACTGACACCTTCTACTCTCAGGCTGTTTTGCTTCTTATTATCCATTTCATGGGTTTTAAATATTTATTTTCACATTTAAATTCAGCTCGGAGATGACTAATACTGTAACTCCTCTCTGCATAACATCTTAAAGCTCCGCTGTGTTTTACATTCGTTTCTGTGTCCAAGAGCTTTGTAAAATTACTTCTACTCCTTAAATATATGCGATAAAGACTCCAGACGTGCTTTTTTTTTCTCAGTCAGATGCCCAACACAAGCAAATATCCCTCAGATCGTCATCCATTTAACAGCAAACCACAACGTGTTTTTTCTTGTAAGCGATCAGACCCTCACACCACTTCACCTGACCGTAACACGCAAATGTTCTCAGCGCCGCTCGATTAAGGGCTATAAATAGCTCTCTGTGTGTCATTTCTCAGTCAGAACTGAACTCTGGAAGCTGAAGTGTTTAGGAAACCTGTTAGGAACAGTCATCATCACTAATACTAGTCATAGGATATGAAACGGTACAAAAATTTCAGTATTCGGTACCAATACCAGTGAAAATCCACAGTTCTCGGTACCAATTTCGGTACCAAAGCAAAACACAAAAACATGCTAATTAAAAAATTTGACTATACTTTCATTTAATCCAAACTGTGTACATATTTAATTTTAAAGGGCTTTTGAAAACCTTCTAGAGTTATTCAGCCAAGAATAACAGCTAACTAAGTTCGCTTAAAAAAAAAAAAAAAAGCCCAGACCTGCTTTTCCGACTGATATGACACAAACAATGTTAACCATTTGTACATTCTCTAACACCAATGTGTAACTCTTTAGACTTGATCCAGTAAGAAACCACCTAGCAACCACCAAGAGCACCCTAGCAACACCCTAGCAGTGACTCTGGCACAATCCAACACCAATAATGTATTTTCTGCTGAACATGTAAAAATTCGGTTATTGCTGCGAGTGTGTTTAAAAGAACAGTTCAGCCAAAACTGAAAACACGCTGAAAATGTGCTCACCCTCAGGCCATCTGAGATGTGGATGAGTTTGTTTCTTCATCAGGTTTGTAGAAATGTAGCATTGCATCAGTGTCTCAGCAATGGATGCTCTGCAGTGAATGGGTGCCGTCAGAATGAGAGTCCAAACAGCTGATAAAA